AAGTCCTGTTACTGGAGTCGAGTTTCTCTCTCACTGAGCAAACCTAAAGTAATTACTATTCTCCATGTCTGATGAACTTTAATGGCGATTTAGGTTGGTGACAGGTGAATTGAGGAACTTTTACCCCACATTTCATAAAGATTTGGTGCCCGTGGTGAAAAAATGACTTTGCACTTTACCAAAGGATATATGTGAGACATAAAAGAGCTAGTTAAGATGTGCTCATATCATAGGTTCGGTTTTCCATTTGGCTCTAAAAGTTTGGTCACTCATAGAATTGAATGGAATGGAGAGCATCAGTGTTAATCATATGCAAAACCACATTGAAAACTAAATATAAGAATAAACTTCCCTAATAATACATCACAAGACTAAAGCTATCCCAATAAATACTACAATTATTAAGTTGCTTGAACCACGGACTAAAATTACAATCCCACCTATAGCTAAATATTGACAAAGCCAACTAAGTATATACAATATGATACCTGACAACCAGAGAAGAGAGGACAGGAATAGCCAGAGAGAAGGCTCACAACAGAGGCTTTAGCATCCGCGGCCCAACTGGAACACTTCATGGATGCTCTATGGGCCACAAGCATGTATCACATGCAACTGCCAGGATAGCACCTATCACCCGACTCATTTGAAGGCAACCCTGAATGTCCCCCGTTTGGACGGGCATCGGTAGTTAAAACACAAATTTCATCAAAATACCACTGCCCATTACCCAAGAGGATCATCTTGAGTGGCTTCGGAATCTTCATCCATGGGATTATTATCTTGAGTGGCTTCGGAATCTCCATCTTCCTCAACATGGTCATTACCTCTAGTCTCTGCATCAGATGCAGATCCACTTTTTGATTTGAGCATCATTGTCAGTTTCGTTTCTGCTTGAGTATCTGAATCAGGCCGAGTACCACCTTTTCCTCTCTGTTGATCACAATCATTCACAGAACCTTCAAATTGCTCCCTCAGATCAGGAGCAACAATGCCAATCATCTCGCTAAGTGCTCGGAGTTCAGAATTCCATTTAGTAGCAGCAGCATCTGGAGTACTCTGAGACTCTGCCACTGGATGAATCGAATCATCCCCAGCACCTTCATTGTTGTCCCTGCTCCTTTGAGAATCATTTTCTCCATGCACAGAAGGCGCTGTGCTGCAAGCCCAGCTACCAGCAACTTCAGAAGCTAGAAGATCCGCAGTTCTGATTGTGCCTCCAGCTTCAGTGTCCTCAACAATGGTCTTTTGTGTGTCCACATGAACTTCCCGACAAGTTGTTTGACCTTGCTCCTCAGTGTCTTGAACATTCATATCGTCATCAACTGCATTGTTTCCCCAACTAAAGCAGGATCCTTATTCAAATCAACTTTTTGTTCATTATAATTGGCAGGACTTTGAGTTTCAAGTACACGTTCAGTGTCAACAGCATCTCCCTCCTTCAAAGTGCCACCCCATCATGTCAGAACCAAACAAAGCCATCTTTGGCACCATGGTCGTGATCTGCACTGGTGAATTCTGCCTCTTGTGTATTTTGGCAATCTTCACTCCTGACATCGCAATCATGCTTCTCGGTTACGCTGGCCTCATTGCTGGATGTTTCCGCTTGATCTCCAATATGCTTCTGTGCAGATGATGTCGATCCAGCCTTGGCAGAACTTTTAGCATGGTATGCAGCAACTTCATTTCCTTGACCTGAGTTTCCACCATGACTACATCCATGTCAATAAGCATTCTCATAATTCTCTTCATCTTCTAAGGTTCTCTGCATTGCTTTCAATTGTTCCTGCTGCTTAGCAAACAGTACTTGTATCTCCTCGGTTGTTGAATAAAATGCTCGTAGCTGTGTTTCCCTGCATGACAAGCATCCAGCCTCAGTTTCTCTAATCACTTCAAATTTCCAGGGCTTCAGCAGCAAAATTTTAAATCTACCATCGTGGCAAAGAACAAGACAAAATGTAAATGTTGCACAGACGTCCATAAACTCAGGACTTGACATCTAACATGTATGCGGGGAGAGTCAAATTGTATGCACGCAAATCAATGCAGTATATCAGCAAGACTGATTCACAATATAAACTTCTGAGTTTTATCAAATACATGTTATCCAATTATTGAAATTTCCATGCTCCAAAATCTTTACCGAAGCATGAGTTTTTCCCTGGCAGCTTTAAAACCTTCGTCTCTCAAAATCAAGATCCCGTGCTGCAGCATTCATTTCAAGCTCAAGAACAGAAACCTTAGCCCATGCTTCTTCTCGAGCTGCCTGCTACCGACAGCAAAAATCTATCTCAGCTTGAAAAAGTGCACTAGAAAAGCTAAGGAGTAAGCTATCAAAGTATTAAAGAATAGGAAAGGAAAAACAAGTACTGGATAGCCAAGACAAGATAACAAGACTCAACCACAAGATTCTCTCTTTTCCAGGAACAAGGCACTCGTAGCTTCTGAATCATGGGTCTAAAAGCATCATGATACTAATTACTTTGCAGTTTCATTGAATGACATTGGTAAGTTTAGCAGAAGTTAAGGCAGATGTATTTTTATTAAAAACTCGAAAAATTTCTTTGTACTGTATCACATAAACTTCTTATCTCTACCTTTTCACTCTGAAGCTCTTTCTTTAATCTTCTTGTTTCCTGCTCAAGTTCTTCTACTCTCTGATCCAACATTCAACACAACAAAATGTATGAGCATATAGTTGCAGCTAAGTATCAACCAAATTGTTGCAAAAAATAAGATACTGAATTTTAATAATCAAATTGCCTTTATATGATTTGCTGAAGCAAGCTGCTCATCATGAACTTGAGTTTCCAACTGCCGGACTTTATTATCAGAGACAACCACCTTTTGCCTGGTGTCCTCCTGCAAGCAGAGAATGAATAAAGGATAAAACTTCAAATGTTCAGGGCTCAGAAAAACTTTGACTCAGGCTAACTGAAGCAAAATGAAAATCTTACCAAGCTTGGACCTCAAGGTTTCAACTAGCAAACACCTTTCCCTCTCCAACTCCTGCAATCGAATATAAAATAACAATTTGAGTGTCCTAATAACAAAAGAGTTCCTCACTGATTTAGTCAAAAAATAAAATCTAGAACCTGCAGCTTCTTCATCGATTCTTGTAACTCTCTTTCTCGTCTTAATGCATCATCAGAGAATCGTTTCAATTCCTCTTGAGCTTCAGATTGAACTCTATGTACAGCAGCTTTCAGATCAGCTGCAGCCTTTTCTCGCTCTTCTTTTCGCTGACTTTGTTCTTCATGTAATTGCTCCTCAAGTTCAGCTATATTTACCTTTTGACTGACAAGAAAAGGAGATTATTACTGAGCTGTCCAAAAATTAATAGCACTTTTAGCCATCAGAGACAAATGAGGGAAAACAAACTAAAATATAATCCACCACCTAAGAGCAATCAAAATTTGCAAAGAAACATGTTCGAAAATACAAATCCTTGAAGCCTGGTAACGAGAGAGGTTTTCAGAACATGACACATAAACACAAGAAAAGAAAGCATATATGAGCACAGACATTCACCGAAGGGTGAAATCTAATTTACACCCTCTCAACTTTTAGGGGAATTTTAAGTTTGGCGCACCAAATTTAAAAATTTAGACTACAGATGATTGAACTGCATTTGTCACAAGACCAAGAATTTAAAGATCCTGTTATTCTTTCTCCAATAATTCTAGCTGCAAAAAACCATGGAAGTTTCTAATTGTTCCCTGATTTTCATATATTAAATGCCCATCAAACGTGAGTAAACAGTGATTAAGGAGTACTAATATCACCATAAGGAGGAGAAAAAACCAATAGCTTTAAGTTCTCTGCAAATTTCAGGTACGGTTTCACTTATGTTCCCTTGCCATAAGCAAAGAAGGAGAGCTAGAGATTCCACTCAAATTGACATTAAACCACAATTGAAGGCCTCAACAGATCTTCTGTTGACTGGTAGAGAGAACAGAAAATGAAAAATGAATCACGGCCAATAATGCCATCAGAGGAAGATGAAAACAATGAACCTTGAGTTTCTGATGAGATATGGAAAATTGTATTATGAGGAAAAAATGATGTCCCTTTAATTATTATACTTTTTTCAGCAAGTGGCAGAATGTCTTAAGCTTGTAAGCTTGTATGCCAAACATCTGGAAAGAGGTAAAAAGGGGCTGCACAATGATCTCTGTAAAAAGCATTCCAATGTCATTGCTTCTTGTAATTCAAAACTCAAGACAGAAGCAAACCTTAACTTGGTGCCCAGCAGATTCAGCACCTTCATTTATCTCATAGGTGTACAAATTTTATACACCATCATAAAGTCCAGAACCAAAAATATTTTTAAGGAATAGTCAGCCTCTAATACAGTAGGAACTCTCAAATCCCTATATTCTTAGCCAACGAAAAGAATGAAACGTATCCCAGTACCAATTCAATTTTGTTTTAATAGGCCATCACATCATCCAAAATTTAGTCATGGGTAGTTGAAACTGTAGTTAATTACATCTTAAATCTTGTCATATTACATCTATAACCATTACTAAGAATTATTAATACTAAATCCATAGGAATAAAATAAACCCTACCTACTTATTATGGCATTTGCTTCATTACACGACTGCATAGAAGCATTAAGCCTTTCATTTAAGTCTTCCACAGCATGCTTTTGTTCAGCAGAAACTCTGTTGATTTCACCTACTTCCTTCTGTTTGAGATCCACCATCTGCTGTAATTCTTTCAATTGATCAAGGTAAGATTTCTCAACGGACTCTCTGACTGATTTTAATTCCTGAAGAATGGAACATAACCTTAGTTGGTATTGTAGCCTATATTCGTAGAAGAATAAGTAGAAACCATCATCAAGCACTTCAAGAATCCATACACCACATGGTTAGTTGTTAAACATCATGAGTGTAGCTTATGAAACAAGCAGAAAGGTAAAAAGAACTAACAATAACATACACTTCCATGTTGCTCAACAGCTGCACGATTTTTATTACGCAGAGTCTCAATTAATACAAGCTGATCTTCTAACTGCTTTCTTAGTTCCTGCAAACAACAATACAGGATAACATCAAAGAACGAGAGGTGCACCACTCCCTAATACTGTAAATATGCTAAATGAAACCCACCGTGTTTGATCTTTGGAGCCTTCGAAAATCATCAAGTGATATGGGACCCTCAGGAGCACCGATTCCTATCCTTTTAATCTCTTGTTTTCAGAAACAAATTCCTCTACATATTCAAATAGAAGAAAAATGGGCAGAAAAGACAGGAAAGTTAAAACAACAGAAAATATATACCAAAGTGAAATATAAATCCAAGTATCATTTCCTGATCATCAAATATTAAGAAGATAGCACAATGCGTAATTTTATAATCACACAGATGCACAGCAAACCACGAATCTTATCATATATCTGAAACTTTAAACCAATATTGATAACACGCCAGGTCAGCTGCGTCCTATAATAACATGTAGCAGAAAAAATATGCTACAACTGAAGGAGAGTTTAAATTGGTCAAACAGAAGCAAGATAGGGGGTTCATAAAAGTGCAATAATGGAGCTACATTTGGTTTTCAAGGGGTGACTCCTGCCACCCAGAAAAAAATGCATTTATATGCATGATACATGTAGAGGCTTTGCATCCTTTAAACTTACCGTCCCTTCCCCTCAACGCACCAAAAGAATTAACTTTTTGGCACAAGGCAAACGACAATCTTGGACCCATTGCCCATCCAGTTTCAACCAAACTATGAGACCATTATGGCACCAATCAGCTGGCCCCTTAGTTTGCATAGCACCAAAAGTTGATAGAATATGAGACCAATCCACAAGCCTTCATATAACCATTTAATAATGACTATAAAAATTATAGACTAATATTCAGTTAAGAACCAATTCCAAAAAAATCTATTTATATGTATAATATGTACATATACTAGCTTTTACCCCTCTAAATTTACAGTTCATCCCCATTAACTTATTGGCATGAGGCAAATAACAATCTTGAACCCAGTAAGATGTAGTTTCAGCCAAAATAATGATCATAAAAATTTATAGAATATTATTCCATTTTGAAATTATGAATATTGTGTTAACACCAAATAATTTTCTTTTTTGGTTACATGGTAATCCCAAATAATATCTTATCAATGCTAAATATGTAGAACTTTTACATTAAGACAATTATATTTATTATGATGTTGTTATATTTTTCTACTCTTTAGCAAAACTAATGTAGGTCCATGTGTCAACAAAGATCACGAAAATGAGTTAATTGAGTTACTAAGATGTGTCATGATCCAAAATCTGAGCCTAAACCAATGGATAAGCTGACTCAATATAACTCAGTTTAGCAAGCCTGAAAATTTGTGGAGGAAAAAAATGATTTTTCACTGTCATTTCACATCTCCTTCGTATAAGGAGAATAGGAGATATGCTACATATATTATACGTATATTTGATAGATGTTACAAGATGAGACATTATTTCTAAATTTCTGTAAATCACATTATTATATTAGTGCAATGAACATTTAAAATAACATATTTTGATAATACTGAATAACTGAATCTTTTCCCACATCCCCCCCCCCACTTTAGAATGATTGAAGCACATATGCCATCATGCCTAATTCAAGGAGCTAATGCATGAATCAGTTGTCATGCATATGTCGGTTAATTTATCAGCCATGTGTCTAGCATCTGCCAGTTGTGTTAGTGCTGCTCTAAGTTCATGACTAGGGAGTCTTGGTTTAAGATGGTCCTGAATTATGAATTTATATTTGGAATTCTTTCCCAAAATTACTACTAAAGATCATTCTCCTTTATTTTCCTTTGCCGTCCCTGACATCTGATCAAATGTCCAACGAGGAGCCAGTACTCAAATTGAGCATAGTGCAAAGTATAATGTAAGAATGAATTGAATTATTGAATATTTGTGCTCCGGATCACATAATTACCTGCTTTTCTTTTAGCAGCTCCATTATCCAGCGAAGAAGCAGACTTGAGCACCTCTCGAAATACAAAAGCAAATGCAACTTCTGTATGATAAAACAGAACCTTCAATAATTTAGATAGAGAACACACATGTATCCCCAAAGCCTCACCAATATACAGACCAAAGGCAGAGAATACTTTTTATGTCTCACCAAAGAAAATAAATAGACAAATAAATAAAGATAGACCAAAGGCAACAAATTTCTACAGGCAATTTTTCAGCATGTAACAAGAAAATCACAGTAACAGGTGAAATGCGGAAACAAAGAACAAGATCTCGAATCAAATGGCTAATAAATATTTTTCAGGAAATAATGTATTATTAAAGAAAACTAAAAGATGGAATACACTAAAAGCAGTGTGCCAGCATACAAAACTGAAAAAATAGCCAATTAGATAGAAGTTATAAACACTGAGAGAATTGGAAGATTAACTGTTACCATGCTGAGGAGGAGCAGCAAATGATATGATATCTCCATGACAAACTTTGACAGCAGTACTGTTCTTTTTTAGCCTCTCCCAGTTGAGATAAGTTCCATTTGTGCTGTACAAGGCTTTGCAAGAATCAGAATATAAGAAGAAAGAAAAACCGTGCTCTTCCGTTTGGTTAGAAAGGGGATGGGGGGTGCAGGATATGAAAATCACCTTGTATCTTTCAACCAAATTGATGCCACGCTCTCCATTTTTTCATTAGTGCCTTCCGTTCTGTATAACATGCAATGTTTAGCACTAACAGCAGGAGAATCAATCTGGAAGCGCATATCCTCTACCACACGCCCAATACAGTGCTCATTGGCAGTTAATAATATATTAATACCCTGGTTACAAACTTTCAATCAGATAAAATGCGCAGGTGTAATAAATTGTCGAGCAAAGATAAACTTAACATAAAACTATGGGCCAAAGCCAAATTGACGAAAATACGAACTCGAAATTCCGGTTTTAAAACCCTCACAACTCTTCGGTCTTAAGACATTTTGCCTCACAATATAGTTGATTCAAGATGTTAATGATGTTTAAAGCTTGGACAGCTCTCACACAATATACTGAATACTTCAAATATACAGTGATTTCTACTTCTACCTATTCATCTTTTCATGGAAAAGCTTTAAGGATGGTGCAAAATCTACTTTTCATTTGCATTAACTGTATGTGTAACTTCTTAAAAAGATCGAAAGAAACCAATCTTACTTCTTTCTTTAAATAGGCCAACTTCCTACTTACTAATCACAACAGAATCTCAGTAATGGCAGCCTGATAAGGTCATGAAAACTTTAATACACCCATCCACGAGTCCAAAGGAAAGACAGAACCTTTTAGAACAGCAAATTATATAAAACGTTGAATAAAAATCTACAATTAACCAGAACGAGAGACTGATGCAATTAATAGTAATGGGGTCATGCAACCTGTTGCCTTTTACGAGCGTTGTTAGAAATAGCAGTAAGGACGCCCCAAACGCTAGGATCGAAGTTCTGAAGAGGCTGGGAAGCAATCTTGGAGGCAACAGAAATGATGAAATCTTTGGGGCTGGCTGGCTTCGTCGGAGAAGTGTCACTAGTGTTTGGATTACCAGGTGATGGCGCCGTGGCAAGGTGGCAAGAGCCAGTCTCAGAGACTTTGTCGCCGCGTGTCGGAATTGGTGCAGGGGTCACCGGACTCTGGTCCTCTACCGCCATGAGAGAAGGGGGAGGGGAACAGAGAATTGGCGGGGATTTTTGAAACCCTAATACCAGGTTTTGGGGCGAACTGAAGAGGTCAATGTCAGCAGGGTGTGTTATGGTTTGGGGTGTCAATCACTCAAACACCCCCTCTAAAAACCAAAACCATGGTTTTGGGTTAAAACCATGGTTTTGACTCCAAAACCATGGTTTTGGAAAAAGCAAAATTTTTTTGCTTTTGGAGAAAAAAGGGAGAGTGTGAGAGCCTATATGATATATATCTTGTTATTTTTTTATAAACATATTTTTCGATAAACATATTTAATCTTATATTTTATAAATATATATACACATTAATTATTTATTAATTATATTATCTTATGTATTATTAATTATGTTGGTAAAAAATATATTATTAACAATTTTATTCCTTCAAATTAAAATATATCATAAAATCTATTTTTTCTGTAATTATCATATTAACTTATGTCTTTTTTTTAGTAATTTGTATATATAAAAAGTGCTTCTGATAACAACTATCCAAACACTCTCACTTCTCAGAATCACTTTTTTACAAAATCTATTCTTCACAGAATCTATTCTCTCCAGAATCTATTCTCCAGAATCACTTTTCCCAACCACGGTTTGGTTTCATCCAAACACACCCTGAGTCTAGCTTCTCTTGGAAGCCTAGCAGTTTTCTGGGCGATTATAAAATACTGGTAATAGTCTAATTTTTTTATTTTTATAATTGGCATGACATCCAAATTTAGTAAAATTTTGTTAACTTTTATTGTTATAATTGATCACATGTTATCTTAATATTTTTATTCAAAGTAATATATTAAAAATATTGATAATAAAATAAAATCAATCAAGTTTTATGTGTGGCTCGATATTGATTAAAAATAGAAGTGGTGGATAGTAAAAGAAAAATTATGTAAATTATAAAAATTTAATTAATTATATAGAGAATAGGAAAGTTATATTATTGCCTTTCTAACTTTAACTATCCTCAAATTATTCATTAGCCTTTTTTCATTATTCTTTTTTGCCAGATTTTTCTTTATCAATCTAATATATTTCTAGACTATTTCCTGTATTATTTTAATTCATAATATCTTTTTCTCCTTTAACCAATAAGGAAACCTGTTTGTCGATATCCTTTGTTATTTTTCTAAAACTCTTTATGTTTCACTATTCATTAAAAAAATCTCACATTAGATTATTTAAATAATCTATTGTGTCCATTAGGTCTAAGTCTAACCATGAAGATGAATTCGAGAATCAGTGTTCTTAAAGCATTGTAAAGAGAATGGAATTGAATACAGCTACTCTACGCCATGAACATCATAATAAACTGAAAAGGAAAAATTACAAATAAAGACTTCTAATATGTAAAATTGTAATTTGGGATCCTTCATTTGGAAAATAGTAAATAAGGATCCGGTCCTATTTTTGCAAATATGAAATCGTAGTGAAATGTCTGAAATGCCCTTCAGCCAAATGACAAGTTAACTATGAGAAATGGGAAGTTCACTTTAGCGAATGAAAACTTCAGTAGACCAAATCACAACTTGGCTGAGAATATACCAAATAACAAGTTGACTATGAAAAATGACAAATTCATTTTAGCGAATGAAAACTTCAGTTGATCAAATCACAACTTGGCTGAGGGTATGTCACATGACGAGTTGACTATGAAAAATAACAAGTTCATTTTAGCGAATGAAAACTTCAATTAATCAAATCACAACTTGGCTAAGGGTATACCACATGACGAGTTGACTATGAAAAATGACAAGTTCATTTTAGTTAATGACAATTTCAGTGGACCAAATCACAATTTAGCTGAGGGGCATTTTAAACATTTCATATTTGCAAAAGTGGGACCTAGTCCTTATTTGCTATTTTTCAAATTAAGGGTCTCACAAATTTACATATTAGGAGGTCTTTATTTGTAATTTTCACAGTATGGAATGATATTGATTTTTTTTTATATTGTCATTACGTTGTTGATTCCAACACAGTTTTACAAATTGATGGATATGGAATGTTCTCCTCTGGTTAAAAAAAAAGATATGACATGTTCTCATTCATAATTACAAAAAAATTGAGGAAACGCTTTTATCATGGAATTGTTTATCATAATAGATCATCCACGGAGGAATTCTTGTGGGAAAATAAAACAATTCCGAGGACAGCATTTTTTTTTCTTTCCAAATGCCATTGTGTTGTTCTTTTCTAGATTCATACTACAAGACTCTTGCAACTAGATGCTAAGACATTATTAACGATTTATTATTATGATGGACAATTTTCTTTGAAACTCCTCCACAAACTTCTTCAACTATCAATGTCACTTAGAACGAAATCTTATCTTTGCTTTTTAATCTTTCTGTTGTTGACTTTAGGATAATTCCAATGTCAGTTTTTTTATAATAATTTCTTAAAATCTCATTTTACTTCGCTAACCATTTGTAACTTGTAAATTGAGATATTTTTTAAATATCATTTTATCTTTTCATTAAAAAAAATGTCAAGTTGAACTTGTTTATAGGCTTATTCAAATTAAAGAGGAGATAATTTGAATAAAAAGAGAAAAATGGACAAGGAAGATAAATATTTGTCCTCATGGAAGAACAAAAAGTCCAAGAGGTTGTTTGAACTGGCTTTCTTAACCCCAAAAGTTCCATAAAAATTCCAAAAGCCATGAGCCGAAATCTTATGTTTGGATTGGTATTGAGGTCAAATGATTTGTTTTCTTTTTTAAAAGTCAAGTTAGACCTAAAGCAATATTTTGGAGCTTTTAATATTACAAAAGCTAAATAGTTATTCAAATTGACTTTTTAACATAAAGTTAAATTATCTACTCTCTTTGAAATCGACTGCTTTCTTCTTAAAAATACTCTTTTGTATATTCATATTTTTCCTAATCGTAAGATCTGTATTGAGATGAATTGTGACGAGCTGTCAAAATTCTTCACAATAAATCTTCAGTTAATGTTGAATGGCAGAGCTCTTTTATTCTTTTTGATATATTTCGATTAATTGAATTAATGTCATTCATTCAATTTTCTTTAGTTGCTAGACAAGGAAATAGAGCTAACAATTTTCTTGCAGCCATTGGAAGAAGTGAGATGGGATTCTATGGATGGCTAGCGATAGCATCATCTCATCTGCAAGAATTTTTGGATGCTAATATGATTGCCGGCTAAAGGCTTGGATCATGAAGGAGGAGGTTGATTTGTTTCCAAAGCTCTGGACCTTGTTTTCTCTTTTTTGGTGGACCTTATTTTGTTCTTTGGTTTTGTTGTTTTTTTTTTTTTCCTTTTGTATTTGTACCTTTTGGTTCGATTTTTTTTTCTATACTTCATAGACATTTCTTTTGTTAATGAATAAAATGATCTCTTTTTGGTTAAAATTTGACTTTTTAACATAAGTATACATCACATCAATTGACTTTTACCAAAAGTTCAGCTTGTAAAATCCCATTAATAAAAGCAATAATTGCAAATGTTAAATCCTAAGATGAGCTCAAGATGGTTTAATTTTTGTATTCTTAGATTTTAGATCTATTATAAAAGAGTAAGATGCGCTGGCAAAAAAAAAAAAAAAGAGTAAGATGATGAATTTTTTTTAAAGGGTTCAAAATGTTTTTCGTTGGATTTTGAGAAGATTTAGAAGGTAAAATCAATATGAGTAGATTTGTATAAAAAAAAAAATGAATATGAGTAGATGATTATTTACCTATGTTTATTTATGGGGATAATGTGCGAATTCACCCTGAAAGTATGGGGTCACGCGTCATGGGTGTTAAGAAGTTTTTGAGGTTTTAGGTTTTGTTTGCAAGAGCGGTGAAAATTCTCTATAAACATGTTTTATGTAAATTGAGACAAAACTACTCTTACATATTTATTTTGTATTCTGTAAATTACTATTTAAAAATAGGTTATAAGCTACTTATAAACTATTCTAACTAGGCATTTAATATTGCCCCAGAAGTTGCAAAAACGCAGCAGTGTCCTCTTGACCATTATCCCGGTTAATTTTGACTATTGTTTGACCATACTGCTTACGTGGCACACCATTTCAATCTCTCTCTTTTCTTCTTCTACGTGACCTTCCACCTCATCATCCTCCCTCTCTCCCCCTTCCAGGCTCCAAAAAATTCCATCCCCACTCCCGTCGACTCAAGTTCCCCAATCCAAGACCAGGACGTGCGTGAGCCAACGAGAAACCCAGGAAGCCACGAGTAAGTGAAGCAGTAGATCCAGGCTGTGCATGATGCCGATGAGAAATCCAAAAGGCGATCAAAGTCACCGTCTTTTCTAGGACTGTTCTTCATTCTGGACAAGATGAGTTCGATGGAGGAAGAGAGCTAAGAGCATTCCGCTTCGAGATCCCTTCACCCCATCTCCCGTTCTCCTCTCCTCAACACTCACTCAACCGCCGTTCAAGTCCATCGCAGCTTGCCGCCGTCAAACTCCAAGCAAGCGGCCATAGTTTTCTTCATTTCTACTCGCTATCATCACTGCTTGGAAATTAATTTATGGGTTCTTGAAATATGTTTGTCATCGTTTACCAGCAGACAACAAATATATTGAAACACAACTTCACTACCACTGTCGTTCTTCTTCTTGAAGATCTCATTCTCATGTAACATGCATCAGTTTGTTGGTAAATGATTATTTGAAAGGTTTTCCCCCCTGTTTGGTCATATTTCTAATTTGTAGCATGTAAGTCTTGAAAGTTTCAACTTGAGGTTGATTTGGAAAGATGAACAATGGCAACGACTGCAAACTACTGTCTAAAGGAAAAGCTTTGTTTATTTTTTTCTTCCATCTCAGATCATATTAGGTTCTTAGAATTGGTTGTAGATTTGATTTCAAATTTGAGTTGTGTTTTCTGGATTCTTAATTTCTGGGCTTGTGTTTTTTGATCTGCTGCTTGTTAATTCCTCTTGTTGATTTCATCTTATATCTTCTTATTGATGTATGGGTTCTTGAGATATGCGTGCTTATTCCCTGTTACTACGGTTACTGTGAAAGTTTGACCTCATGGTGATCAT